AGCAGCTATGGGTTGGTTGGGGTTCTTTTGCATATGATACACACGCGCAGTGCTTTCTGTTGGATGATACGTAAACAAGCAATAGAGACCTGTGTGAATTGTTAGTTGTAGTTCCAGAAAATGTTGCAGGAATAACATATTTGAATCTGAATCTTTTGTTTCTCTGAGACAAGATAGCAGATAGAATACAGGATTTCACAAGTGGTCGGAACATAACAGTGTTAGGTGATTGGGAAAGCGGAGCTCACTTTCACCTCTGTTTGCTCCCTTCAGCGCCAAGAATAGAGAGGATAAATGATCACACTTGTGAGATCACATGGGAGGTTCTGCAGCCCATGAAGGGTGATCCCGTTATCTACTGTCTTCAGGTCATGGTGGGAAAAGACTCAGAATTCAAACAGGTATGATGTGCTTCAGTTACTGTATTTTAATTCCATTAGTATTTGTGGTAACTAGTTTAGATTATAGATTGTTGTGTTGACAATATGGTTTTCGGCACCATGCTAACTTTTTGTTACTAAGTAATAAAAGGTAGTATCTCCTAAAACCATTGTCATAGAGAAAAAAGATGTAAGGAATATAAACATTGCACTAAATTGCACCTCACCTCAGGTGGTGAAGGAATTTCAGGAAACTGAAAAAAAAGAAAACATCCACCCAATGGTACCAAAATGAGACTTGTGAGAAAAAGGTCAAAGGGCTCTCTTTGCACCAAGAGCTGTCTGAAGGCAGTAAGCAGTATTATAGAAGTTTTGACTTTGACAGGGTCATACTTCTGTACAGAGAACTGCAGGTAGGAAAGACCCCCTATTTATGCAATGTAGACATTCAGCTGTAGGGAAATTTTTAATGTAATTCAGTGATAAGTTTTTTACCATAGGACCATTTCCGTAGTAGGGCATGCTGTGTTACTATAAGGGTCAAGCAATGGTGAGTGTGTTTAAATTTCACATTTGATTATCCAAAGATACAGCTGGGAACCCAAGCTACAACTATGTCTGTATTTAAAAGAGGATGGGCAGTGCTAATTTTGCTTCCCTATAAACTGCCTGATAATTGATGTGAAATCAGGCTTGGAAACTGTTTTACAGTGTTAAGCAATCAGGTTTCCTTCCAGAAAGGAAACACAATTCTAGTTTATTATAATTTTATTACAGGTCAGTACTAAGTTTTACCTGTGCTTTGGTAGATCATATATCTTAATATTTTCATAATTCATAACTTCTAGTGTAGTGCTATGTCTGTTGTGTCCCTTTGTTAAATTTTTCAGTAAAAAATGAATCATACTCCAAGGTATTTGTCACCTTGACATGTGGATATTCTTTATCATAACCTTAAAATTGGAAATGCAGTATGAAATCTGTAATTGAGGTATGGTCAGTGCTGCTTCTCGACATGGAGTCAAATCAGCCTGTGATCAGCAGTGTGCATTGCCAGATGATCTGGGCAAGAAATTAAAGGTTACGCTTTAAGCCTGGAAATAACAGAGTAGACTGAGGTGCATGATTCCTTTTTGCTCTCCAGAGCAGCTCAGCACAGTACATTAAAATAAAATGAGGAGACAAGTTTGCAAAACTTAAAATTGGAACAGTCAAGAAGTAAACACCATGTAAGTGGCCTTTAAGATACTTAGACATGATGGTAACAGTTTTCTTTGATGTGAACAAATAAAAAAGTCCTGGAAGTTCGCTCTAAGCTGTTTACTACCACTTCCCTGCCTAAACTTCACTGTCGTCTCCCTGCTGATCCATCAGCCAAGTTGCTCATGAGTTGCTCCCTACGTGATTAAGGCAAAATAAGTTAGTAATCTGCTGTTTGAGCCATATACATCAGTCAAGCTTTTCAGGGGGTTAGGAAGTGACCCTATAAAAACTATAGCAAACACATTTGAGGGGAGGGCAATTTCTGGCAAGGCACTGGGGACAAGTAGCTGTGGCCAGTCACCCCTTCCTACTCTAAATAGGCTGTATGTGTCTGTGCCCTGTTTGCTCGCTACCAAACACATGATACAAATGAGCAGAATTAGAGAAAGCTGCACTCCCAATGACCTGCCCTGTCTCAGGGTGAGAGCCATTTCCTGAGAGAAAGGGAAATCTCTAGGTTGTAGGTTCCAGTAAAGCTCAGCTGCCTTGGCTGTCAGAGGGCTTTCTAAGTCTGTGAGGAGCCACAGGCACAGCAAGAGCTCTTCAAACAACAAAATCAGAAGAGATTTCCTGCTTCTTTCATTGAATGGTTGGTAGTTTGCATTTGCAAAATACTGTCTAAAGGATGATAACTGCAAGGAAAACTTCTGCATGATGTGGTATTTCTGTATCCTGATAATGAGGTGTGAAGGGATTTAAAGAAAGAAATTAATGCACTACCCACCTAAGAGCTCGGTACCTACTGATTCACCTGTAAATGGAAAATTGCACCTGCATGGGGATGGCATTTCATTGGCTTCTACACGACTTTATGTAGCTGCAAATTAACAAATTTGAAAAAACAGCATTTGGATTTCATTGAATTAGGCACTCAGTGTGAGCTCACATTAAGCAGACGACTGGGAAACCCTTGGAGAACACCCTGACAAGTCATCTATGTCTTAGGATCTGATGAAATTGAGAATCACAGAGAGGACTCCTTAGAGCTTTCCTGGAACAGTGTTTACTGGGATAAATTAATAGTATTTTGAACACAGGATACTGTAGCTACAATAAAGTATGTTGCATTGGGTTAGACTTAATGTAGTAGCTTGATACAGAGTTAATTACCCTAAAATCCTCTGATGGAATATTGTACGTTACATCCCACGGTGTAGTATTTACACTGGAAGTGGTCAGTAAACCAACACCGGGTCTTCTAACAGTTAATTCAGCATGTTCTCACCATGCTGTAGAAGCTCTTGTAGTACTTCTCCTGGGTTTCAGCAAAGGGACTGGAGCCTTTACCTGGCATTTAAATTGCACTTGTGAGCTTTTTGTCTGTTTTCTTTTGCATGGGTGAAAACACTGGTGAGGAGTCCCCCTTTTTACAGTTACTTCCCCCATAAATAAACCATAGAGAGATGTGTATGTAGGATGTTTTTATTAGATGTATCTGTTTTATCTTTAATGCCAGATTTATAAGGGTCCGGACTGGTCGTTCCGATACACGGGCCTCCAGCTGAACTGTGAATACCGTTTCCGCGCGTGTGCCATTCGCCAGTGCCAAGAGACAGGAGGTCACCAGGACCTGACAGGCCCCTACAGTGCCCCAGTGCTATTCATCTCTCAGAGGACTGAACCACCGGCAAGCACCAAGGACACTGTGCAAACCACAAGGACACAATGGTCACAGAGCGACCAAGTGTGCGCTGCTGTCATCCTTGCACTTTTTGCTATCTTTTCCATTCTGATTGCTGTTATCATTCAATACTTTGTAATAAAGTGAAGAAGAGAGGTTTATTTTAGGACACTGCCCATTACATTTTACTTTCTCATAACCTAAAGTAATTCTGTTCTCTTGCTTTTACAAAAAAGAAAATACAAACAGGCATTTAGCACCGGCATTGGGACTGATGCAAACCTTTTTGGCCACTTTTAAATGCTTACCGGTAGGTATAGGCTGACACATGTTATTAGAATGCAAGCCACAGAAATACAATCTTTTCTTTAATATGCCTTCTTGCAGTACAAACTCTGTATGGGGCAGGCAAGGTGTGTTTAATGACAAGGGTTTGACCAGTAAACATCAGTGTAAGAATGGTTTCCTGACCCACACTTCTTGTAAGGGTTGCTACCGTCACAGGGAAGAATGTGTAATCGCATTGAAAACTTACACTAACAAACTTGTGCTGTATACAATATTAATCTGATGCTGTGAAAGCAATTTAGCGCTGTATTTCTACCTCCTCATTTGTCTTAATTATTTGGGAAGCAAGATTTATGCTGAAAAACAGAAGGGGCTTTTCTCAGGCAGCAAATAATAAACTGGATGGAAGAGTATGCATGAAGGAAGCTTCTTACTGATAAATGTGGAGTTCTTCACTGCAAGTAGATGTTTTCGAAAGACTACAAGGGGATGGCACAAGTGGTTTATCTTGCCCCCAGGATTTGATGTTTACTTACAAAAATGCCTCTTTTACTTCTCAAAAATAGAGAAGGGAGAGTGTGAGAGAACTTCTTAGACTTCCTACTTTAATTGAAAACACATTTCCAAAGTTGACCTTTGATTGGATGCAGTTTATACAGATGTCTGTGCCCTCTGATTTTGGCTAGTTAATAGGTTTTTGAGATAAAATTCATCATTGAACTATTGCTGTTTCCCCAACATCCACTTGCCGTATCCACCAGAATCAAGCACTGCCTTTTATTTTTTGTTTTCTCTTTCTTTCTTTCTCTCTCTTTCTTTGGGGCACCAAATCAGAAGATGAAGCATAGTAATTTGCACCAGAAAACTTAAAAGCTGCTTTTTTCTTGAGATCCTAATGTTTAATGTAATGTCTCTTTGGATACTGTACCAAATTGTTGATTGCATGTAGTTAATGTTGCATTAGAGCACTTTGCAATTGCATAACTCATCATTGTTTTGTGAGCTTGCGTTTGTGAGTTCTTGAATGACCAGACTGAATTTTATCAAGTATCCCATTGAACATCTCGCTGGATGTCAATGATTGCCAGTGACACAAAGCTTGTAGTGAAACTATCTTTAAAAGAAAAAAAAATTCCTTGTCTCATCACACTTACATTATTTGTTATACACTTTGTAATTAGCTACTCTTAATTTATTTGAGTTACAAGATAGTGGATCATTAAAGACTTCTAGTTGTGTTCAGTTTAGCATTTTTAATGGTATTAAACACTTCTGTTGGTCTTAATAATAATAAAAAAAGGAACCTCTGTCTTGTGCTTTGAAGATCTCTGAAGAATTTCTCTTATATTAGAACGGGCATGTATTGTAATTGTTTCTACGTCCAATGATCTGTGCTGTAGAATAATGTTGCCGAGTTTCGTTGCCTTTAAAACAACAAAAGAGAAGAAATGGCGAAGAACTCGGCCTCCACGTGGCGAGAGTGTTCTGTCTTTAAGATGTACTGTATGTTTACACTTAATTTCCAAGCTGTCATTTGTACGTATAGGCTGATACCTTCCCACAGGATAACTGATGTTTTCTAGAACCTTCTTCAAAGTGCCATGTTTGGCAGTGCAAATGAGGTTGCGTGTAAGAGCCCAGAGATTTCTTACGGTTGAATGTCTAAAACGGTAAGATTTGTTACTACAGTTAATCTGCAGTGACTTCTGTTTTTCATAGTAAAATTCAAATGAGCTCCTATTTTTGATAGTCATTTAATAGTGTATTTGCCATTTGAGCCTCAGTGCATATTACTGCATTGAAGACAGTTTTTAATGTAATCTTAATTTTACCTCATAAACTGTACATTCCAAAAATAAATTAAGAGAAAAAGAGAAAAACTCTAAACTTTTTAAAATGTTATAGATACACTACCAAACATATCACTTTACAATTGTACAACGTCGGACTCCATGAAGACGAACCTGTATAGTCTGATAGAAAATAACATAAACTATGTAGCAAAGTATCTTTAAAAATCTGTGGAAAATAAAAGTATCATTCTTTTTTGTGGTGGTTGGTCTGTGCTTTGGCGTGTATCGCCACTGCTGAAGCACGCTCTCGTTCTGCAGCAGCTGCTCTTGGCTGGGCCAGGGCTGATGGTGACAGCTCCCGGGGCAGTGGGACCACATGGAGGGGTGGTGGGCGCAGGGGCTGAGGCCTGAGGGGCAACGCTGCCCCTTGGGTGTTGGTGGGGACTGAGGTGGCCATGTCCCCTAGTGGTGTGCGGGGTGGTGGTGGGAGCAGCAGTGAGGGTGAGCCACAACGAGCGGCTGTGTTTGGCACTGTCGGTGTGGGTGCTCATCCCCATCATGGCTGCCTGGGGCTCCTCATGGTAGGCATGGTGGGTAATGCCCCAGCAGTGCTGGGCATCCATGTTGTCACAACATGAAGACACCACCAACGTCTGCCTGAGCAGCATGGCTGTCTCAGACCTGCTCACCCTCCTGGGGCTGTCCATGGATTCCATGGCCTCTGGCCCTGGCCCTTCATGCAGCTGCTGTGCTGCCTCACCCACTACCTCTGTGGGGCTGCACCTGCATCTTCCACATCACTGCCATCACCGTGGAGCATTACCTCACCACCTGCTTCCCCTCAAGGCCAAGGTGGTTGTCACCAACCACCAGGTAAAGGCCGCCATTGGCATCCTCTGGGCCTTCACCTTCCTCTCTACCAGCCCCTTTCTTCTTCCTGGTCAGTGTGGAGCAGCCTGACAACCATACTGACTTCAGCCATGACTGCGATCTCACGCCACAGGCCATAGATCCCAGCCTGCTGGCCACCATGTTCTGGGGCAGTCACATCTGCCTCAGTGTCCTCCTCTATGGTTCCATCAGCCAGGAGCTGTGGTGGAGAAGCCCACACTCCTGCACAGGGTAGGGATGGTGCAGGGGAACATCCCAGCCATGCTACCAAGCCTTCCAGTGCTCTGAGGGACCGCTGTGGCAGGGATTTTGCTCCCTCACAGCTAAGGCTTCAGCTGGTGTAGCACTGCACATCAGCAGTGTGACTGCCGTCACAGAAACAGCCCTTTCTGAACTTCACCAGGCAGAACTGAGCATGAGGTAGCCTGTAACTTCAGAGAGACTGAGGTAACATCAACCACCTCCTCCAGTGGGCACCTCTAGGCATTACACTTCTGCTGCTGAAAAAGGTTGATTTTCTTAGTGGCTTTCGTAGCTCTCCAAGGAGTAAATCCACTGGTTGCCCATGCAGGTTGAAAACCAACAGCTTAACCTTTATGAGCCATTGGCAGAAAAATCACCCAATACCAAAGCACTTCCTGCTGATGTAGGATGCTGTTAATTTATAGTTCATTTTCTTAGTCCTAAGTTCATTAACATAACGTCAGGCTCTGGGAGGTTGGAGATCATAGCCTGATCTGGGGCTTTAAACTTTGTAAACAGGGACCAATTGGAAGAAAAAAGTAAAGAGAAGAAACGAACAAAGAAATCCAACTATTGATTAAGAAGCATACAACAAAATGCCCTGGTCATTTCTTTTCCCTGCCATTCATGAAGGTTTTACATGCTACATGGGAAACTTCTTTTACCAAGGATGTAATCAGCTTAACATCAGTGTAGGAAATTGGAAAGAAATTCTCACCTTGCTTACTCGTGAGACTAGGATAAGATCTCAAAGAAAATACTGCTGCAACTGCTCATGGTCGAACTGTGGTAAGACCCAGAGATTAATTTTTCCAGGAAAACTTTCATCAGAAGGAGCAGACTGATGCACTTGATTAGACCTGAGACTAATAACCAGAGCTGATGTTAGCTTTCCTGAACATAACTGAGCAATCCTTCAGCCTAGTTTGTAAAAGGACACAGGAACTATCTCTGTAAATATTACTCAATGTGCAGTTACACTGTATGCTGAAGAAATGGTATCTAGGTGTGGGTTTTGTTTGTTTTTTTGTCACTATGTGTTGAATAAGTGATGCAATATTCTTAAAAGACAAATTAAGAAATTCCTGGTTGTCATCAGGTGAAATTCATGTGGTTGCCCACTTCAGACTGGAAATCCTCAAGCAGAATGACAACAAGCTCTCCTAAGGATTTGCTGCTGTTATTAATGTAGATATAGCTTGGAATTCCTGATTAGGTAGCATACCAAACTTGGCAAGGACACCAGAGTTACTGAAAAGTGAACTTTTAACCCGTGTCTACTTTTCAGTTGCCATCTTAAAATCTCCAGTCCCTAAAAGCAATGACAGACGAGAATCCCCTGTTCTTCAGAAGAGTGATTAAATCCCATGCCGATCATTAGATACATTTTCCCCAAGCACTTCAGATTTTAATCTGCACATTATTCTCTCAGGGAGTGTCTCTACCTTATAAACAATACAGGAAGTGTAAAGCGTAAAGAAGACACGGTGTTCCCGAAGAATCAAAATTAAACAGCATCGACAAATCGAAAATTGTGAAGCAATAATGGTATTTAGAGGAGAAATTTGAAGCCATTTATCCAAATAAATGCTGAATATCAGCTCCATTCATTTACCACTGAACTGAATGTTTCAAATTATAAATTAAGATTATGGTCCCTTAAGTGTCTGCTTTGATACGAAAATGTTGAAAACAGTTAATCCGTAATTGTTACTTAAAATAACAGCTGATAAGTTGGTACCAAAAGACAAGCCAAATTCTACTAAACCTTTTCTTGAAATTTAAGACTTTTATCCTGCAATGTTAGAAAAATCCATATGATGAGTGGTGCTACGCACATGCACATTTGTTTTTTTCATTTGCTCTAGAAAATGGACTAATTACTTAAATTTAGGGCGATGTCCTGGGTTCAGCAGTAGCAGTCATGTTTCTCCTCCTTGGTAGCTGGTGCAGTGCTGTGTTTTGACTTTCAGCCTGGGAACAGAGCTGATAACAAGGATGTTTTGGTTTGGCCAAGGACTTTGTGAGCCTCATGCTCTGCCAGGGAGGAGGGAAGCCGGGAGGAAGCAGAGACAGGACACCTGACCCAAACTGACCAAAGAGGTATTCCATACCACAGCACGTCATGCCCGGGATGTAACTGGGAGTTAGCCGGAAGGGCTGGGACTGCCGGCTTGGAGGAGGTATGGGTCGGTGCTTGGTCAGGCTGGGGGGGGGCGAGTTATCGGTCAGCTGGTGCTGAGGTGTTGTATTCTCTTCCCTTGTTATTTCCTTTATCATTATTATCATTGGTGGTAGCAGTAGTGATTTGTGTTATACCTTAGTTACTAAACTGTTCTTATCTCAACCCGTGGGAGTTGCATTCTTTTTGATTCTCCTCTCCGTCCCTCTGGGAGTAGGGGGAGAGCAAGAAGGGGGGGAGGGGAGTGAGTGAACGAGCCCCCTGCCTGGTTTTAAACCACGACAGGTGACAACTATTCATATTGCTGAGTTTCAGAGATTCAGGCTGTGGGATCATCATTCAGTCCAATTCACTCCTCAGTCCTGGCTCCATGACTGACTAGTCTCCAATATCTGCAATCTCACACTACGACTCTCTGCGTGCCTCGCAACCTGGCTTCACCTCCATTATCTGTGTTAGGGAAAGAGAAATGAGGTCTGCATCCCAGAGCCGCCTCCTACCATGAAACAGCAACATTAGCAAAGTGTGCACTGGTTTCTGGGAAATGTTCTCAAGTCCCAAAATTTCAATGTAGTTTTAAGCTCCGTGCATAGGAAAAAGAACAGAGTGGAGCCTTCAGTGCTGTTCCATATCAATTTTGGAAGAGTCCAGGACTTTCCGTTACCTTTAACAGGGGCAGAAGAAGCCAGGAGGGAGCAGAGACAGAGCACCTGACCTGAACGAGCCATCCTATTACTAGTTAACTACTAATTGCTAGTATTGAATACTATTTCATACTACAGCATGCTGTGCCCAGTACATAAAATGGTAGGTTACGCAGAAGGAACCAATCAGGTCAGGCTAGGTATGGTAAGTGGATGGTGAACAATTGACTTGTGCATCACTTGTGCTTATTGATTTTTTTCCTTTTCCTCTTTAGTTTTATATCTCTCTCCTTATTCAGCTTATTATTAGAGGTCTTGTATTGGCCCGTAGCATGGGGAACAAACGAGGAATTAGAGATGTGTGCACGTCTACGGGGGCATGGTATAATAGGCATCACAGAAACATGGTGGGATGGCTCCTATGACTGGAGTGTTGGAGTGAAAGGTTACAGGCTCTTTAGAAAAGACAGGCCTGGCAAGCAGGAGGGGGAGTTGCCCTTTATGTTAGGGATAGGCTGGAGAGTATGGAACTCTGTCTGGGGACAGGTGAGCAGTTAACAGAGAGTTTGTGGGTCAGGGTTAAAGGGAGAACAGCTACGGGAGACATTACTGTGGGGGTCCGTTACAGACCGCCTGATCAAGGAGAACCTGCGGATGAAGCACTCCATAGACAGATAGGAAAAGCCTCACGCTCGCAGGCCCTTGTTCTCATGGGTGACTTCAACCACCCTGACATCTGTTGGAAGGACGGTACAGACCGGCACAAGCAATCCAGGAGGTTCCTCGATTGTGTGGAAGACAACTTCCTTCTGCAAGTAATAGAGGAGCTGACAAGGAGAGGTGCCATGCTTGACCTCGTGCTCGCCAACAGGGAAGGGCTGGTTGGAAATGTGACTCTCCAGGGCAGCCTTGGATGCAGCGATCATGAGATGCTCGAATTTGAGATCCTCAGGACAGTGAGAAGAGCGTGCAGCAAGCTCACTGCCCTGGACTTCAAAAGAGCAGACTTTGGCCTCTTCAGGAACCTGCTTAGGAAGATTCCATGAGATATAGCCCTAGAGGGCAGGGGGGCCCAAGACTGTTGGTTGATATTCAAGGATCATCCGCTACAAGCTCAGGAGTGTTGCATCACAACTAGAAGGAAGTGCAGCAGGAGGGCCAGGAGACCTCCTTGGATGGATAAGGAGCTCCTGAGGAAAATTCAAATGAAAAAAGAGGCTTATAATAAGTGGAAGCAAGGACAGGTGGCCTGGAAGGAATACAAGGATGTTGTCCGTGAAGCTAGGGACCAGGTTAAGAAAGCTAAGGCCCAGTTAGAATTAAGCTTGGCTAGGGATGTTAAGGATAACAGGAAGGGATTCTACAGGTACATAGCAAATAAAAAACAGACTAGGGAGAACGTAGGCCCCCTCAGGAAGCTCTTGGGAGAACTGGCTACACAGGATTTGGAGAAGGCTGAGGTTCTGAATGACTTCTTTGCCTCGGTCTTTACTGGCAAAGGCTCTGACCAAACCACCCAAGTCTTGGAAGGCAGACGCAGGGACTATGAGAATGAAGACCTTGCGCCCACTGTAGGAGAGGAACTGGTTCAAGACCATCTTAAAAACCTGAAAATGCACAAGTCCATGGGTCCTAATGAAATCCATCCGCGGGTCCTGAAGGAGCTGGTGAATGAAGTTGCTAAGCCACTGTCCATCTTATTTGAAAAATCATGGCAGTCAGGTGAAGTTCCCGACGACTGGAAAAAGGGAAATATAACCCCCATTTTCAAGAAGGGGAAAACGGATGACCTGGGGAATTACAGACCAGTCAGTCTCACCTCTGTGCCTGGCCAAATCTTGGAGCAGATTCTCCTGGAAGGCATGCTAAGGCACATGAAAATCAACAAGGTGCTTGGTGACAGCCAGCATGGCTTCACTGAGGGGAAATCCTGCCTGACCAATTTGGTGGCCTTCTATGATGGGGCTACAGAACTGATGGACAGGGGGAGAGCAGTTGATGTCATCTACCTGGACTTGTGCAAAGCGTTTGACACTGTCCCACATGACATCCTTGTCTCTAAATTGGAGAGACATCAATTTGATGGATGGACCACTCGGTGGATAAAGAACTGGCTGGATGGCTGCACACAAAGAGTTGTGGTCAATGGCTCAATGTCCGGCTGGAGACCAGTAACGAGTGGTGTCCCTCAGGGACTGGTGTTGGGACCGGTCTTGTTTAACATCTTCATCGCTGACCTGGACAGTGGGATTGAGTGCGCCCTCTGCAAGTTTGCCAATGACACCAAGCTGTGTGGTTCGGTTGATACCCTGGAGGGAAGGAATGCCATCCAGAGGGACCTTGACACGCTTGTGAGGTGGGCTGATGCCAACCTCATGAAGTTTAACCATGCCAAGTGCAAGGTCCTACACCTGGGTCGGAGCAATCCCAGGCACGGCTACAGGTTGGGCAGAGAAGAGATTCAGAGCAGCCCTGTGGAGAAGGACTTGGGGGTGTTGGTTGATGAGAAAATGAACATGAGCCAGCTTCAGTGTGCTCTGGCAGCCCAGAAAGCCAACCGTATCCTGGGCTGCATCAAAAGGAGCGTGACCAGCAGGTCGAAGGAGGTGATCCTGCCCCTCTACTCTGCTCTCATGAGACCTCACCTGGAGTATTGTGTGCAGTTCTGGTGTCCTCAACATAAAAAGGACATGGAACTGTTGGAACAAGTCCAGAGGAGGGCCACGAGGATGATCAGGGGACTGGAGCACCTCCCGCATGAAGACAGGCTGAGAAAGTTGGGGCTGTTCAGCCTGGAGAAGAGAAGGCTGCGTGGAGACCTCATAGCAGCCTTCCAGTATCTGAAGAGAGGCTATAGGGATGATGGAGAGGGACTCTTCATTAGGGACTGTAGTGATAGGACAAGGGGTAATGGGTTAAAACTTAAATGGGAAGTTTAGATTGGGTATAAGGAAGAAATTCTTTCCTGTTAGGGTGGTAAGGCACTGGAATGGGTTGCCCAGGTAGGTTATGAATGCTCCATCCCTGGCAGTGTTCAAGGCCAGCTTGGACGAGGCCTTGGGTGATATGAGTTAGTGCAAGTTGTCCCTGCCCATGGCAGGGGGTTGGAACTAAATGATCTTAAGGTCCTTTCCAACCCTAACTATTCTATGATTCTATGATTCTAATAAGCTCGAGAGAGTACATTTTGCTAAGGTAGTTGAGTATTTACACTGGAATAGCGACACGGTTTTCCAGCAGAAACACACGTATCAAATAAGGTCTCTTATTTATATACCAGCAACTAATCCCCCATATCTGTAAGAGTTCAGCTATTCCTATCACTTCCTCATCACCACAATGTCTGGTAAATGTTAGCAGCTTGTCTCCACTGCCTCATGGTCTGGACTGTGCTTACAGGAGCAACACTGGTGGTATGTCTGTGCTTGCCCTCTGTTAACCCTTGTCAATTAGCATGTCTGTGCTTCAAAGATGTAACCATGGTGGTTACTCTATGCTGGAGCTCCCTGCAATGGTGTTTGCTGCCACAGGAAGGCAGAACTCAGCATCCAGCTCAGACATCTCAAGGCAAAGTTGAATCTGAGCCTACTCTGGGCTTTTAAAACCTCACCATTTCTCCATTTAACAATCCACAGCTCTGAGTCACTGGATACAAAAAAGAAGACAGAAAAACCCGTAGCTCATTGCACACACATTAAGTTTTCTTCTTCTGTTGGCTTCGTACTGGGCAAGACCAGCTGTCTGCAGGGCTTGGCTTGGGATGCGTTTGCTGGGGAGGAGAGTGTCATTAAAATGTTATAATGAAAGAAGAGCTGGTATTTTCTGTTTGAGCAAGTTACTTTTAACAGCAATCCTAGTAAATTTATGTAGACTGGGAAGGAAATTTTACGTTTATACGCAGCCATGAAGCTTCTTCTACATGCCTGTGGTGTCCTGATAATGACTTCCTTTATCACCGGCTACAAATTGTGCTGGGAGGTAAACATTTGCCAGGCAGATATTTCCATAGGTACCGCAAACAGGAGGTGGAGCAGGAGGAGGGAAGGAAATGCCCTTTCCCAGGGAAGATCACCCTGGCACCCACCTGCTCCCTAAGCCTGCTGGGTGTTCAGGCAGGGCCTTGTACAGGTTCCTTGTGGCTGGGACCCTGTCTCACTACTCGTGGGGTGACCATGTTTCTGCCAGGAGCTTCAGGCTTGGGCTGCTCCTGCTCAGCCTCAGGTGCTGCAGCAGAAGACTTCTTCTCCCAGCGGCAGACCGTGGAAGTGGTCTGGTTTCCTGGCAGAGTCATTTGAATCCCTCTTAAAAATACTCCTTTTGTATACTTAGTACAATATCAGCGCAGCAAACTGCATTCATGAGCTTGCCATGCTTTTTTGTTAGTGCTCAGTCACCACCGGGTCAGACGCTTAGGAAAGGGATGGAGTCTGGGGAGTTTCCAGGCCTGGCACGGCTGCCTCTGGTGATAGTGTAAGGAGGAATGCTGTCAACGAAAATAGAAGAGCCCCGACTGATTTATTCCCAGGAGCCCCATGCCCAGGTGCAGCCTCAATTATTTATGCAAATCAAGACAAAGATGGTTAAAAAAAAAGGCAAACAAAGCACCCAAACCAAGGAAAGCAACGGAACTGAAGAAACAAACCAACCAACCAGCTCCTTTCCTGCTCTCTTCCAACCTTTCCCTCACCATGACCTTGGAAAAGTAGCAATCCCAGTGCCAGTCTTGCAGAGTCCAAACATCGATTCATACATGATGAAGAGTTTTGGTCTCATCACAGCATCCATAACATACATGTTAAAAGAGGAAAAGGAGACCTATCTTCAGACTCACTACAGCGCTAAGTTCCTTGCTCACTTTCCTACTCAGGTGTAATTACTGTAGTAACCCTGCACTGGAAAGTTACTACCAACAAAACCAAACCAGCCTGGGGAAGCTATGCTCTCCTTCCCCAGAGGAAGCACATAGCACAGATGAAAGGATGGGATTTGCCAGTCTAATATCTCTGCTGAAGAACAGTCGTGCTGCAGCAACGGCAGAAAGGAACACGACTCCCCACACTCCACCAAGCTAGCTACACCAGCAAGACGATTAGCAGGGTACAAAAGAAATGACCCCCTCGAACAGAAACCCTCACGCTGCCAGCTCCCTGCTCCCCAACCTGGATGCAGAAGCCCCTTCTGCGCCGTGCAGCTGACCGCCTGTTCCTCGGATCCCTCTTTTGCCCGCGGGCTTGGATTTTCTCGGGGAGGCCACCAAGGGCCAGACCGGAGCTGCGGTGCAGGGGGGCGACTCCAACCGCAGCACAGCGCAGACCGCGCCGGACAGAACAGCGCTCCCCGGTGCCCCGGAGCCGCCGCTCCGCCCATCGCACAAGCCCCGCCTCCTCTCTCCCTCCCGGTGTCTATTGGCAGAGGGGCCCGCCCGTCAGCGGCGGTTGCCACGCTGACGGCCCCGCCGCCGCGACGCCCTGAGGGAGGAGCGGGGTCACCATGGGGCGGGGCGGGGCGAGGCTGGGGGGTGGGGGGCGCGGGGCAGCGGGCGGTAGCGCCGCCGCCACGGCCACCGGTACCGGCACCGATGCACGGCGCAGAGGAGGCGGCGGAGGGGCCGCGGGTGAGCGCAGCGAGCACACAGACCGACAGCATGGCCGGTGAGTGGTGCCCGCCGCGGGGGGGGCCGGTTGCGGAGCGGGGGGCTGGGGCCTCCCCGGCCGGGAGAGAGCTGCGATCCCGCCGCGGTGGGGAGCTGGCAGTAACGGCTGGCGGAGGCAGGGGAGCGGCGGCGGGGGGGGTGCTGGCAGGCCTCTCGCGGGTCTCTTCTTGCCTGCCGGGTGTTTCGGAACGCCGGGCACCGTGCGGTGTGTCCTCTCCTCGGGGCGCTGTGAGGCTCTGCCCTCCCCGGCGCCGTGCGGCCCCCGCTCAACTGCTATTTCATAGGGTGCTCCTGCCCGTTACAGACAGGGCAGTAAGAGTATCCCCGCCCCTACTTGCCTGTGCTCTTAGTCATAGGGCCTTCTGATCATACGTGCTTGTGTTTTGTTTCCTCCTCTGCCAAAGTTATTCCCAGTCCTACACTGTGTATTTTTAATGTGTATGAAATGCAGTCTGCATTAAAATGCTTTCCTTCCGCGGGGTGTCTCTACTAACCCCGTAGCAGTGCCCATGAATTTTAGTAGAGAGCAACTTTGTCACAGCGCAGGGGATGTCGATATAATGCAGATTTTGATAGATTCCATGTATTCCATCGCTGCAGGCCCAGCAGAGTGGGGTATACATACAGGTCACCCATGGGCTGTATATATAGCTCTCAAACTGAGGACCACAACAGGGTTGCCAGGTCTCCTTGATAGGTAAAGGGGGTTGGGGGTGGGGGTGGTGTTCATTCTAGTTTAATGAAAATCCTATTTCCAAGTGAGCAAAGAAAACGGTTTCTCATCTACTTTCCCCAGACAGGAGTGTGACGTCACTGATTTCCTCCTCGATGATGTCAAAACACAGTACTAGTTCCGTGCTTGGAACATGACTTCTTTCGGACTTTGCACTAGGGACTCCTATGTTGCAACCATGGCATAATCCTGTATCTGAACCGTGTCCGGATGAACAGTGCCCTGCTCCTTTTAGCCTTCAGGTGCAGGCATGGCAGGGTTTTTGATGCTGGCCTTCACAGACCACTCTCCCTTGAACCTGCCTCTCACTGGTTGAGATCCCTAACCTGGAGGAATAAAATCATACCTTTGTATGAAGCAGAGAAGCTGTGTAAAGTAGGGAAGCTGTGAAGACTCAGTGCACATTGAAAGAGTACTCTTTCTATAGACAGTTTTGCTTAAATTCTGTATGATGTCTTCTACCTTATTTCCAGGCCACTTTAATCAGTATTCTCTTCACTCTGTTGAATTTACAGGACCCTTTAACTAAGTTGATAAAGGTGTGGATACATAGATACAGTAACTGTGACCACAGGTCTTTCTTTTTTCATCATAATATTTTGCTTCATTATAAATTCAGGTCTATTCACAACACATTCTTCAGTTTGTTTCCTGTGTGTTTGACAGGTCACATTCAGATTAGGTCCAAGAAAACAGTAATTCAAACTTGTTTCTGGTGTATTCTGTTTTAAATCTACTCCTTATGCCAAGTCGTAATCCCTTTTAGAAAACATGATGGTATACATGTGACTTGGTATCAGTGCCGCTGTTTATTTTAGCTTGCCATTTAGGAAGTGTACATGTGTGTGCTACAACAGGAATGAACAGAGGCCATAATGAGAATGACTAAGACAAAAAAAATCTGCTTGTTTAGATGTGGCTTGTAGACTTACTTTTACAGTTTATTATTAGGACAAGTGACAACAAATCTTCATGTGGGCCACTTGCCTTGTACATTTCTAGCACACGCATCTGATTGTGCTGACCAGTGCCCCTTGCAGTGCTTGTGTACAGTGGGAAAGCGTATCTGGGCAGCCTAAGGAGTAGTGGGCAGTGTGGCATCAGCTGGTGCTGCTGAGAGGTCTGTAGCTGCTTTCCAAAATCACACTTTTGCATGAAAAAAAGCCTGCTAAAATGCTGCCTGAAAATGGTATTTCAGTCATGGGTTGCATGTTTATCTGCTGTCCTAATTGTTTGGGTTCACAGACATGTCATTAAATTAACCTTCTTCCCCACCAAAGGAATCTTAGTGTCTGATTATGTTTCTTCCAAACTGGTGGGACTGCTTAAACAAATGTTTTTCTCTGTTCTGTTCTTACCTCTGCCTCTTCCTCTTTTGCACAAACTTTAACATTCGTGGGAAGGGATAAAAACAGAAATAAAACTACTGAGCATACTTGAGACCTGCAGAAGAATATGTGGTTTTACAGCTCTCTTTAAGCACCCCTGAAGTAGGGACTGGAGCTTTTCGAAGACATAATTAAACTTCTTGCCAAGTGTGAGTCAAGACAGCTTTACTTCTGGGATGGTGCAAGCACTGGTGCAGTACTTCTTCCATTTTCATTTGTGGGATACTCGGTAATGCTGAGCACTGGTTCTCAGCATGTCCAGTTTTTTAGCAGAAGAACAACACAGCACAAGGCAGTGGGTGGAGAAAGGATTCTTTGCTACCGCTTTGATTGTTTAGTCAGAAGTAACAGCATGAAAAATAGGTTTAACTTTTTGTAAAACTCTAACCAAAGTTTAAGCAGACTAAAAATCCAAAAGTAGGTTTCTGCAGAACAGATGTAACTGGAAGGTTTCACAATGGCTCATCCACTCTTGCTGCGGGTGTCAGTGTAAGATCATGATGCGTGCCTGGATGTTTTTGCTTGCATCTGTGGTGAGCCTGAAGCTGAATCAGAAGCTGTGTCTCAGATTTCTGTAAGCATTTCTGAGTCATTTAAGCACTTTAAGTTCTGTGGGACCTGATCTTTGATTTCTACTCTTCACCTCTGAGCCGAATTAACTCACATAATTTCAGTGAAAGTTTCATCACTTTCTCTTGTTGCACAGATCTGAGCTCTGCATCCAGATGTGAGCATTCTGAGTTGACGGTTACTGCCCTGACGAATACAGTGTGGATTTAGCTGCTGTAAATAGCAGAAGTGGTAGATGAACCAGCTTCTGTAGCAGCTGTGGTGTACAACAACAATGTGGGGTATCTTTAGAAATATTCTTTAATAATTTTTTTTTTCTTCTTCAAATGACAGGTCAAATGCCAAGACTTTCTAAAGTCAATCTTTTTACTTTGTTCAGCCTCTGGATGGAGCTCTTTCCTTCGACTGAGCAACAAAAGAAATCACAGGTAAATCTGCTTAGTGTTAATTGGTCTTTCTGAACAGTTCCTGCAGTGCATGTAACAACTGCTGTTTACACGACAGATAATTCAGAGGAAAAAAATCCAAACCAAACAAATCTGCTGATAATATTTTTTTCAGTTATTTATTAGGAGGAGAAAAAAATCCAGTGGTGGGAGAAAAATAGCAGACTGGTTAAATAGCTGCTTCTGAAAAACTGTACCCCTGACAGCTGAAGCAAATGCTAAAAAATGGGGACTATTTTGAAGAGCCTAACAAAAGAGGCATGGTGTATACTGGGCACTTCTTAGCATATGCTGATTGTAACTTTAAAAACAGCGTGGTTGATGGTATAGAGGTACTCGTTTAGAATTAAAATATTCATGATTGTAGATGAGTTCTGTTATAGAGTGGAGGTGCACAGAACTATCTGAAATGTTTGTTGATCAAGAACTTGTAGATAACTACCTTAGTTACAGTGAAAAGAAACCATCCTTGACAATGGATCTGCTAAATAGTAGCCAGTTACACTTCAGAGTGTCCTGGAACAGCATGTTTTGTTCTGTGATCAGAGTTCTTAACTGTTCTTACTTTGTGCAGAGCACAACCATGTGCTAAGATCCATGGCACATGGATCACCCAGGACACAAAAAGACAGGAAAAGAATTTGAGTGACAGGCCTAATTTTCAGAGTTTGGTATGTCTGAAAGAGGTATAGATGAGTCTATACCTATAGTATATACCTGTATCTATAGGTTAAGTCTGCCACTATACAGACTTCAGAAGCAGGTTCAAATTTAGTAATTCAGTTAGGAATGGGACTTGGATTATCTTGTAGGGTTTTAGTACAGACTCATTTCTGAAACCACGAAGAAATCGGGTAATTTACAGATCCAAGGTGACAGTGTTCTGGTAACAGCTGAACTGCATAATGAGATGTGTTTCACTGGCTTCATCAAACTAGCTTGTGTCCAGTTTCCTTACAATACATGGGAATCCATGTGTAAGAGCTTTTGTCTATGGTACGCAGACTTTTTCCATGGAATATTCTTTAGAACCTGGATTCATTTCTATAAATGAAGAGACAGAAGTAAAGCTAAAGAAGCTATTGTTAAGCTTAAAACAGAAATTAAGCTAAAACAGAAATTGAAATTAAATTCATAGCATTTCCAGATGCTGGATGATTCAGAGGGTTTTTCAGCTATAATTGACAGAATTTTCTGTGCTGTGCCTGGAATTTGGTATGTGCAAAGCAATGACCAAAACAAAATCATGAATTTGCTACAAGTCCCTGTTTGAAGCTTGACAGGGGCACAGCATGCTGATATTAAAAAGCACATGTAGAAACTACACATGCACACAAAAATACTGCTTTGGGAAGTGTTAACAGAGATTGCTTAATGATTCATATCACAATTGGTAATGAAGAGCCATATGCTCTGATCCTGGTTGGTCAGTGTTCCCTAAGGAGGAGCTGTAACATTGCTATGGACTGATGTTGAAAAAAAGTAAAATAATAGAAATGCATTTTTCTGTAGGTGAAGAAGAGTGGCCTAGTTGTGGTGAAAAATATGAAGATTGTTGGTCTTCATTGTTCCAGTACAGACTTGCATGCTGGCCAGATTGCACTCATAAAACATGGATCAAGACTTAAAAACTGTGATCTTTATTTCTCCAGAAAGCCGTGTTCAACCTGTTTAAAAATGATTGTAAACGGTAAGCAATGACTGCAGTAGATTTGGGGTAAATGTGACACTTGTGACTGGTAGTATCTGAAAGCTCGTTTTCTCTTTGGACTGTCCCAGTTGTGAAAGCAAATCCCTAACTTGTGTGGCCTGCACTGGTATTTTCCACAAGGCTGAAAACAGTATTGAATGTACATTTTCCTGGAGCTGATGATCAATAGATTAGGGTTTGCTACTGAGACACTATTTATCTGTGCAGCTATTACTATTGGTGATGCTTGTCTCTTGGTTGGGATGCACTGCTGAGATCCTGACAATCCAGTTGCACTTTGCCAAAGCAACCAACCCTAAGCCTAATAATTAGGCCTAAATAGCTACATTTTTCCTTGCCCTCCCATTGCTTGTCAGTGGAACCAGAGAAAGGGTGCCTTTTATGCAGAAATCACAGGGAATACTTAAGGTTTTCCTTTTCCCAAGTCAGATGAAAACAAGTCAGATTATTCACTTCCTTAAATGGGATCTGCTAGGACAGCCCTTCTGCAAGCATTGATTCTTACTCTCAGAAACAGCTTCTGTTAGTGCTAGCTTTTTTGTGTGGTATTAATATATCTGGTGTAGTTGAGATACAAAATTAGACTGTCACAAAGATCTTAGAATTTAGAAAACTCCAGTTTTTGTCTACAGTCTGATTAACAAGTTAGATAACCTCTTGATACTTGTATCTAGTAGCATTTTTGTTGTCCAGATACCCCTCAAGCAGCATTCAGGGCCTTAAAAGGAGTAAAACCAGGGTTAAACAGTAGTGTTGAATATGCGGTTTGTGTTCCACTGTACCTGTATGGTTCCTTTTGCTGCATTATGTTCTCTTCCAGCTGGGGTGAACAGGATTTCTTACTGGCCTGCAGATCCTGAAATCAGCTTGCAGAATGAGGCGTCCAATCCCATGACTACGGATGATGCAAAGCTAGATGCCAAAGCAGTAGAAAGACTGAAGTCAAATAGTCGTGCTCGTGTGTGCGTGCTGCTTCAGCCCTTGGGGTGCTCCATGGTGCAATTTGTTGAAGAAACTTCCACCAAGTTTGATTTTATTCAAAAAATAGTAAAATCTCAGCCTGACTCTAATGCTGACTTTTACACTGCATGTAGACAAGAGAGAATAAAAGAGTATGAAAGTTTATTCCTAATTTCAAATGAGGAAATGCACAAGAAAATATTGATGACAATAGGACTGGAGAACCTCTGTGAAAATCCGTACTTCAGCAACCTGAGGCAAAATATGAAAGATCTTGTCTTGGTCTTGGCCACAGTGGCTGCCAGTGTCCCTGTCTTTGGATGCTTTGGATTTTACAACAGTGAATCACAACGAACAAATGAAACAGATCATCAGAGTTTGCCCCAAGAAATTGCAAGGCACTGTATGATACAAGCCAGACTACTTGCATACCGGACAGGTGAGTTGTTACAGTACTGCAGGAAGAATGGGTCTCATGAGAAGAGCAAGTTCCTCATTCCAGTCTTAGTCTACCAAATAATTCCTTGAGCAAGCTGCTGAATTCTGTTTCTACATCTGTGAAACAGGAATGGCAGTAATAGTAAAAACTCCACAGGGGTACATAGTATTGTGAGTGAAAGCTTTCCAAGAGAAAACCAGTGCAGGTACTTAGGAAATCCTGCCCTGCCAACATGTCCAACACCTGTCTAGAAAAAGAATACAATGGCATTTGAATTCTTCAGGCTGCTCTGAGGCTCTTTTTACTGTGGCTTCACAAGATGCTTCTGTTATCAAATACATGCCAATATTTCAAGCAGATTATGTACACTTCTTCAGAAAAAAAGAGTGAAACAAAGGCCTTTCACTAAGGCATTAAGTACAGTTGTATTAAGTTTCTTAGTTCTAATCTTATTAGTGAAAATGCTTCTATATCTGATGGAGGGTTTCTTTGCAGGGATGCTGGAATTTTGATGTACAGGCTTTTTGGGTAGAAGGATAGTTATTGACCACCTTTTGATGATACGGATGACTTCTGTTAGCTACTTTATTCTGTTTGGGTAGCAATGCAGTAAATTGGTACGTTCTTGCAGAGAATAGAATATGAAGACTTATGAAGAGTTAAAACTTAGTAGTACTCGTTAGCATTGGCTTTTTTCATCTAGATAGGATAGTTGCTTTTTAAAAACCCTTGCAAACAAAGCATATTACATATTTAAAGATTATTTTTTTTTTTTTTTCCCTTGGTACCCTCTGTGAATCTGGTCACCCAAAGTTGCAGAAGAGATGGAATTGTTACAAATAATTTGGAAGTTTCATGGAACCAGTTGGATTTTTTTTTTGTACATCTGCTGTTGTACAGAGCACAGTGGAATGAGCAAACTTTACTATTCATTCTTGAGGCAGCAAAATTCGGTTTTACCTGTGCTGTTCAGGTCTGGATTTTGAGAAAACTCTTACTCCACTTTAGTCCTGAAATAAAATAAATAAACGGCACACACACATATTTAGGTGCTTGCGTTATTATATAGGTGGATATAAGGAGAGCAAGATTATAGGATGTTTTCTATTCAGGCTTAATATGCATGAGTGACTAGTAAGTATGCAGAATATAAAGTCAGCCCTCATAAAACATATCTTTGGCAGGAAAGATCCTCTTTAAGGTGACTGTATGTGTTAGTGAGACCAAGGATGATAGAAACAGTTAATTGTCTTCTACATCACTGGAAACCTGAAACATTTTTTTCTCCTTGATATGCTCAATTTTTACTGGTCAAGACTCTCATCAGTAGCTACTGGAGAAGATTTCCAAGTTCCATGAAAATCTTCCAAGTCACATAATGGAAGTTCTGTTCTGTTTTTCCTGTGGTGGTGATGGGAAACACCCCCCAAAATAGGATTATTAACATTTTGTCTCTGAATTAGGTATAAAATACAGCTAATTTTGATAGGAGTTCAGACCACAGAGCCATAAACTTAAGGAATGGCAGAAACTAAGTAATTAAATTGTAAACAGCTAGAAGGTTTTTATCAGTTTGCCATCTCACATGTGAACCTGTCCACATATATTCTTGGCGCACATATACTTGTCTATGTATTGGTTGTCCCTTAGCATGTGTGAACAAATGTATGTAGCAGTGTTGAATGGCTGGCCTTGTAGTTAAAGTACACTCAGCTTTTGGAGTAGACATGTATGACTTAGAAGCTCTTAATTTTTCTTTTCTCCTGTCCGTGATGCAACAATAAATATTATTCCTTACTTTAGGATGTTGTATGTTAATGTACAGGTAATTCAGAAGTGCTTTATTTATTATTTGCTGCTAAAATGTTATGTATTTTAGAGGACCATAAAACAGGAGTTGGAGCTATTATTTGGGCAGAAGAAAAATCAGTAAGTATTGAAAAAGTTCCTCTTTCTTGCGCTCACAATGCATACACTTGTATCTCCTTTGAGCTGTTATTTTGCTTTAAGTTTTTGCACGTGCGTTTTTCATACACACACACAGATCACTACAGAAACCTCATTCTTTAGTAACTAAGTTAATGACTGCTTCTCTGATAATGCTGTCAAGATGAAGGGGAAGTATAAATGAGTTCAGTAACTACCACAGTGTCTCTGCTTACTTTTCCAGTGTGCCTGCTTCCTTAGCCATTGTCAGTTAACTCCAGGTGCCCTGGCTACAGAGTTTTGCCACAGCTGCTGATCAGGCAGCCTGTGCCTGTTCTGCAGGTCCCTCTTTGCAGCTTTTATTTTGGAGAGCTCTCAGTACAATCAAGCCTCACAAACTCTGAAGGATTTTTGTTGCCATTGAAATGCCATAGTGGCTTTAGTACATTTTGGATCAAAGTGGTATTTTTCTACAGGTATTGTTACAGTGCTTTTTCCCATCCAAGCTAAAGTTTTTATTCCTTTATGTCTCTGATTATGCGTGTTACCAGTCCCAGGGAGCCTCATTCTTCATGCAGCTGCAACATACTCTTCATTGGTTTTTAACGCTTCAGTCATCAGCTGCTCATTGCTGTTTTCTCTTTTGTCCTGATTTCAATCACTGATTGCTACTTACTTAGCACACTGGGCACTGGGTCTGTTGAGAGACAGGTGAAGCAGTCTCTGGCACATCAAGAGCTAATTCCAATTTTGTACATTGCAGAAAGGCTCAAGGACTTAATCCTTCCTCATTTTTGTTCCTGCTATCCATACTACCTGATAGAAGGAAAGCCCCTAAAGCCTGGTGCAGTGTGTTGTGTGCAGTGTTCAGTGGAAAAGCTCCATAGAGAAAGCCATCAGCAAGAGCCTAGTTCTCTTTTTAACTGCCATAACTTGGCATTAACTGTGAAAGTATACATTGCACAACACTTTCACTTAATACTCAGTGTAAATGTCTCCTACTTTAATGGTTTGCTTACTGTTGCAGAGAAGCTGTGATGGAACAGGAGCAATGTATTTTGTAGGCTGTGGTTACAATGCCTTTCCTGTTGGATCTGAATATGCTGATTTTCCACACATGGATGATAAACAAAAAGATCGGGAAATCAGAAAGTTCAGATACATTATACATGCGGAGCAGAATGCCTTAACGTTCAGGTAATGGGCTTATTTTTACCAGGGAGAAGAATGAGATGGTTCAGAAACAATGCCATGACGAATGAATGTGTGATGAAGTATGGATTGCAGTCGCAGTCTTGCTTATGCCTGTAATGCAGAACTTGGATGCGCATGGGCACAGCTTCTAGGATTTCTTCAGACTTCTTAAGTGAATTGGTTTTTAAAGGGTATTCACTCCGATGCATAGCAGCTCCTTCAGATACAAGCCACTGCCTCTGTTTCCTGCTAGGACCATGCTGTCCTAGCAGGAAACCTGAAATAAGGAAGAGTAGCAATTGTTGAGGCTTCAACAATGATATATGTGGAGAGGTGGGATGGGTGTTTTGTTCACAGAGAGTAAAACCAAACTAGATATCGTTGTGTACTTGTGCACTTCGTTAGGAATAAGTGGCTTCTGAGAGTAGATCATAGAATCACGTAACACTTCTTTGCTTGCTCTTGTGAGGTATTAATTTTGTCACTATTAAAAACTAGCAAGATATCTGAAATTCTGGTTTTTGACTGCCTGTAGGTGTCAAGAAATAAAGCCAGATGAGAGAAGCATGATATTTGTGACAAAATGTCCATGTGATGAATGTGTCCCTTTAATCAAAGGCGCTGGTATCAAGCAAATCTATGCAGGAGATGTTGATGCTGGAAAAAAGAAAGCAGACATATCCTATATGAAGTTTGGTGAAGTTGAGGGTGTAAGCAAATTTACAGTAAGTAAAAAATGTACTATAGTCTAAAAACTGGGCTGCACTGTGGGGAGGGTGGAGTGGGCGCAAGAGGGGTGTTTTCTTGTGTTGTTTGGTCAAGTGAGCAGAATTGAGAGGTTGCTCTGTTACAACACTGGGGAGAATTGCTGTGCCATATGCCAGAGGGTGCGGCCAAGTGTGTCTGTTTTCTCTAACTGCCTTGCAGATTTCCCTCTAACTCACTGCTGTTGTTCGAGTGCCTCGTCACGCTGAGGTTCTCTCCAAGCTTCCCTGTCACAGTACAGCAGCTGATGTGGGAGATCACTGTGTGACTACATAGGCCCTTCCAGTAGCTCCCAAAAGAGCTGCAGTGGGTTTTGAAGGTGGCCAAGTGCCCTTGCACTCAGGGTGCTCACCATGGCAAACAACAGCACTGGTGGTTTGAGCAAGCTCATTTCTCCTTCTCAAGGGAGTAAATGACCATACATCCCTTAATAGGTATTTATTTGCAAAGTAAGTGTGTGTTGGAGGTGGAGTCCTTTATTCCCTGCCTCACCCCTAGTCATGCCTTACAGTGAAGAACAATGGGGTACTTTATCCTTCTCCCTTTGCTCTTTTTCTGTCTTCTGGAATAAGTAAACATTTTCTTCTTCTTTTACCAGTGGCAACTAAATCCACTGCACACCAATGCCCTTGAATTCCATGACCCCACAGCCAGGGAAAGTAAGTAATTTTTTCATTAATTCATGTCATGACTGAAGTCAGTAAGTGAGATCCCGTTTTAAACAAACTTGAATTGATTAGTCTTAATTCATCTTGATTTCAGTTAGTTAAATTTTGCTGTGAAAACTTCTCTGAGCTTTTTGAATAGATGAACTAATAGTAAGTTGAAAACAAGTTTGTTTTAACAAATGCTTGGCACTGGTACACACATTACAAAACCTAGTAATGCTGTTATCAAGGTCAACAATATGCTGTTTGACACAGATAATTTCAGACTACTGTGTAGGGTTTTAGATTTTGTTTTGTAAAGACTTTTTATACTGTGTTTTATAAAGAGTGCCATTCTTTTTCAAGAGAAATTGGACTCCTCCAAGTCATTTAAACACGTTTTGCAGAACATTTGAGTGTTTCTTTTACGAAGTGGAATCTATGCCAGTGCTTTTCAATCAGCATTTGTTTTTGTGTGTTTATATACACATATATAATATAAAGGCCACAAAATCCTTGTTGACCTGCACTCCTGTAGCAAGGAAGCTGTCATCCTCTGAAATAGAGTTTGGACAAGTCTTATCTTGAAGTCTTTTTGTGCTACAGAAGGGACCCACCAATGGCATCTACTGTCAGCTACCAATCCTTAAAATGTTTTTCATCCAGAGGGGAAAATAATGCGGAAAAAGAAGCTAAATAATTTTTGTGCCTCAAGCACAAAGATACAGAGTGTAAAGATAGCGACCTGGCAGTTACTCAAAGAATTGAGTACCAGGCTAGGAGCATAAGAAAGACTGAAGGTGGGGTCTGTAGCACATGAATAACCACATACTACAAGCTAATTCCTAATGTGAACTAGAGATCAGCGGAGACTTCTCTTTCTTAGCAATTTCCTCATGGGCTCAGGAAAAGGGGCGAGGGAAGGGCTCAGAGTAGTGTGTGTGGCATTAGTAATCACTGCAAAATGTTAGGGCATGTTTATCCCTCTCTCTGCTAATGGTTTTTAGGCCCAGCTAGAGAAAGATTCACCTTTAATAGGGCTCATTTTTCTAAGAGTGTTTTCTTCAAGATGGCATGCTTGCATTTCAACACTGAACTGGTACAAGTTGCTTTCTTTCCTTAATGTGTTTCTCTTGCTATGATTACTGCATGCTCCTCTGTAAGGGGAAGAAGACAATCTCTGTCCCCCTCCCCATCCCCAGTGTTATTCCAGTGGGCCATTATGTGTTGAGTATTTAGGCTATACTTACTACTGTATTAATGTTTTAAAAATATTTTTTCTCTTTAGATGGGGTTCAGAAAACAAAGTCACTAGATGACCAGCAGCACCAAAGCAAGAAACTGTGTCTTGGTCACTGTTGAATAATTAAGCACTTCTGCAGTCTTGCTCTGTGTTTTTTTATAATGCAGCCTGTTTGCACTTTCAAATAAGAAAGAGTTTTATTTATTGTTTGGAAAGTGAATTTTAGAATAAGTTTATTTATGATGTCTTTAATGTTTTATGGAGTTACCTGAAGGTATTTTTAATTTAGAACTTCTTCTTGGCAAAAACCTGCTGCTTGTATTTTCTGTGAAAGTGACTGGGTGGCTGATCATTATTAACACATTAAAACACAAAAAGGACTGAAACTTTGTTGCTGGCAGATCACAGTAATAATAAAATGGTACCTTTTTGCTTGGTGTACAGACTGAGGGAACGGATTTCCGAGTTCTGCGCTAGCAGAATGCAGAAATAAGCCCTAGTTTTTCAAGTACAATCATCAAGGGAATCTTTTAGGAAATGGTAGATAAATAATAACTAGCAGTTATTCCTGTTCCTGAAAGTGGCTTTTACTTCTCAGTCTGCTTGTATAAAGGAGACGAAGCCTTGGGAATGGCCATCATTTTTGAGTAAGTGGTTTGAATATCAAGCTTCTCTCTCATTCACACTGTTCCAACTACCACAGCAGCAGAACTATTTTGTTTTGTGGCACCTGCATTGCTGCTCTGTTTGCTTCCTGAAGTGCAGCCCATGTGAATTGATGCAGGCAAAGATTAGCTTTATTTTTCTCAGCTTCTGGATGCAGGCCTAAAAGAACTCAGCTGTGTGCGTCTCACTGGCCCCTACATACAATGTAAAGATTTCGAGAGTTTAGGTTTTGTTAATCATCTTCATTAATAGGCTTGTAGGACTACAAAAGCTAATAAAGCACCCAATGTCCAACACAAATGTGTTATTTCTTACAGAGGATGATCTATACCAGCAGAATTGCCTGATAAGGATGCTGGGGGTGGACTCTTCATTAGGGACTGTAGTGATTGGACAAGGGGTAACGGGTTCAAACTTAAACAGGGGAAGTTTAGATTGGATATAAGGAAGAAGTTCTAGATGTAGGTCAGGTATTAGGAAGAAATTCTTCCCTGTGAGGGTGGTGAGGCACTGGAATAGGTTGCCCAGGGAAGCTGTGAAGGCTCCATCCCTGGCAGTGTTCAAGGCCAGGCTGGACAAAGCCTTGGGTGGCATGGTTTAGTGTGAGGTGTCCCTGCTCATGGCAGGGGCATGGAACTTGATGATCTTAAGGTCCTTTCCAACCCTGACTATTCTATGATTCTATGACTGTTGATGATCTGTGGAGCAAGCGTGACATAAAAACAGCCAGTGAAACTTCATTCTAATGTGGTTGCCACTTTTGAGGGGGTGCTGGGTGGGTAATGGGTAACCAGGACATTTGTACCCAGCATCCTTTGAGAGGTCCCTGCCCTTACTCCCATTTGTTTTGAATATGCTGCCTTGAATATGACCTCTAGCTGTTTGTTTTAGCAGATGTTCCAAGACTTTCTTTTCACTCCTGCCCTGAGCCCTCAAGTGCAAACACCTAAAACCTTTTGCTGCTGCTGGTAGAATATATAAATGGCCTTTTCCCAGTTCTTTCACACAAAGTGTCTTTGCTGCCCTCCTTAAAGTCCAGGAAGTGGAATAATATTTTAAGATGCTGCTGAAGATTCTGTTTGTTTCTTTTAGGCTTTGGAAAAGGTTGGAACTAGATAGCAAAGCTGTGATCAGATAGTGTGCAAAGCATCTATAGTGTGGCATTAATTATATGGAGTCTGTTCTCACTTAGTTTGGCTGCTGGTCCTGTAATTTAATGTACAGTTCTAATGTGCAACAAAGAGCTGTGATTCCCTAAGGCTTGTGGTCTAACTTCATTCTTGGGTACCTGGACCTTAGAACTGGGGAATGCTTATATTGTCTTACCACCATGAGGATTCAGTCTCACTGGAGCTGGAGAAGCTGCTGTTTCTCTGAGCCTAGTTAGATTGAGAGCTACTCTGGAGCTGCTGGTTGAGTGTGGTGCATGCGGTTAGCAGCAGAAGTCTCATCAGGATGACCTCCGGCCCCGCTGTAGTCTTGCTAAGGAGGGTGCATACAGCTTCATTTCCCAGGATCAGGGAGAGGGTAGAGGAGAAAAATCCGACCCTGTTTGTCAACTAAGGGAAGGATGGTGAAATCCATTTTTACATCACACCTCAAAAGAGTGCTCTTTCACAATAGCTCATGAAGAAATTGCTGAGCTGCCACTTGATTAGGTCTTGTAATCTATTGTGGAGGAGCCCAGGTCCTGAATTTAGGACCAGTAGATCAGCTGCAAGAGCTTCATGCCTTACCTGTCAGCTTTAGAGTTCAGGGCGTGGGGGTTAAGTTACTGGTTTGTATGCTGTACAAACCTCAGAAGAACAGGTTTTTTCCCTCATCAAGAATTATATAGTGTCATTGTTTGTAACTTCCATATGAGTCAAATGCTGGTGTTTCAGAAGCAAGATTATAATCTATTTTAAAATCATAAATATTTTATTTTGGCATATTTGCTCCCCACTTCTTGTAAGCATCTTTTGTTAGATTACTCTTGGCTTTTTCTATGGAGTAGAACACTGTCCAGGTTAGAGTAAAAAGAAAGTCCTCCCCCTCCACCCACTGAAACCTTGTTTCCGTAATTTATTGGCAGTGCTCTTCTACTTGAGGTAGAGGCAGGGGAAAAAACAGGGGCAGGTTTAAGATCCCTTCAGATTTTATAGTGATCTGTCAGCTGGTGTCAAAACTGGTAAAGAAGTCTGTGTCTTTATAGGAACAGCTGAAAATGAAAACTCCCTGAAACATCACAAGTGGCCTAGGTACATGGATAAGTAAATTGAGATACAAGTCAAATATCACACACATTAAATAACTACGCTGCAGTGAATGCTGCTGGAACCTGTGCTTCATGAGGAGTGAAGATTCAACTTTTATTTTTTATTGTTTGTTAAAAAGAGGGGGTTTTGTACAAAACTTTCTGTGAAACTCAGAACTACTTGTACAGCTGAAGGCTTGCAAGTCCAGCTTTATTTCTGTCTTGCTACATTTCTGCAGGTTCCTCCAGAGACTCACAAGTTTCTCTAGGCTCCTATAATCAGTATAATCCTGCTTTAATTCTTAATGGGGTTACAAAGCAGGGTCTTTATCCTGGCCAGCAGGAACAATGTGAGTGGGGTTTCTCTCCCAGCCCCTGGACTCTGTAGGTGCTACTGTGCCTGTTGCCTGCTTAGCAGGGAGAGCCATCAGAGATGGGACATCTCCTGCAGTGCATATTTTGCAAATGAACTCTTAAGATGTTTGCTTCTTTCTTACATTAAAACTACAATGCACTTAAAATCATGAAATGTAAAAGTTATATATTTTATATATTGTATGAAGTTCCCATATGCATTTTGGATCTATTCCATTCCTTTCAGAGCAGTCATTTTAATTGTACGTATTAACTATCAGTAATAATTTGGCCTCCTGACAGAACAGAAATTCTCTGTTAATTGTCTGCCTTACAGCAAAACACATTTTCTGCTAATAAATTAATGTGACAATAAGTACTGACATGCATTTTTAAGTGCTTTTGGTTGTTAGAAGAAGCGTAACTGAAACAGTGCTTTGAAATGCTCACTCCTTTTACCTGCCTGGTGCTGTCCTTGCTCTGGCAGTCCCAGTTGTTTGCTAAGTGGCATCAACTCCTGCTCTGCCTGAAGAATGTGTTTCCACATGAGACTGTGCCTCCTGCCAGCCCTGAGGAAGGGCTGTGATTCCCTCCCTTAGTCCTGAGAGCATTAATGAGCATCAGTTCCCTCTTCCTCAGGAGAGTCAGAGCTGCCTTAGGGAGCATTGTGTGAGCTACCACCTCCACAGCCTATTTCTTGGTTGAAAAGATGGAAGTGGGTAGAGCTTTGACCATGCAGCAGCACATCCATCCTGCTGCACCTCCTGCCTTGCTGCCCTGGATCACTGCATCTGCATGCGCAGCACCTTGATTCATAGTCACCATAGAGGGGGATCGTGGTGGTGATCATAGGCAGCTACTACACTGGTCAGCAGTGTGGCTGAAGGGGAGCAAGTGTAGCATGAAGCAGGTGATGCCGAAGGCCTGGCCCATAAATAGTTTCAGATCCATGTAGCTCTAGCCCAGGCATGCAAACTGGAGGCCTGTTAGCCAGCGGAGTGCATTGGGGCTATTGCTACAATTTGTTTTCCTGTTTAACTGCATCTCAAATGAATCCAGTCAGTGCACCCCAAGACTGGTTCATGTCACTGAGCCACATGCAGTAAGCAAGGACAGATGGAAGCTGCATTTCAGGAGTGCTCTTGAACTGAAATATCATTGTAAACAGACAGCCGTCAGTGGGATGTAGTCAGGTGGGCTGGAAATGGGACAGGCTTCCCAGAGCCATGTTTAATGTGGGGACTACTCTTAAAAGCTTTGCAGTCCTCTAAAAAGATTCTTTTGGTTTGGCCTTTCTGCCTGCAAACCAGACTTCAAATACCTGTTTGGCTTTGCTAGATCTAGGAAGTGAAGTTACCTGGAGACACTGAAGAAAAGAAGACTGAAAAACAGAAGGGAGACAGTGTGTGCTGATTTCTAATAGATCTGGGTAAGTGCTGTATTGGGTCTGCATGGGAAGGTTTTAGTAGCAGTGGGCATACAGGTGTGGCTTCTCTGAGAAGCTGCCAGAAGCTTCCCCCATGCCCCATAGAGCCAATGCTAGCTGGCCCCAGCATGGACCCACCGCTGGCCAAGGCTGAGCCCATCAATGATGACAGTAGCGTATGTACTTGAGAAGAGGGAAAAGTTACTGCACAGGAACAATTGCAGCTGGAAAGAGGAGTGAGGATATGTGAGAGCAGCAGCTCTGAGACACCGATCTCAGTCAGAAGGGGGGTGAGGAGGTCGGAGCAGGGGAAGCGTGTGAGGAGTCCTCTTCTGATGTGTCCCAGCGCCATGCCGTGCCATTGGCAGCTGGCGGCTGACCCTGCAGCCGCTTGGTGAGAAGAGGCATTGCGCTGCCGCGCCGAGCCTGTGGCTGACTCAACAGCCCCGAGCCAGGGAGGGCTCCTGGGTTTCTCCGTAGCTGTGAGCCGGGGCTGGTCTGTTTCAGCCCTTCTCCCTTCTCCCTCCCGCCCAGCGGGAATGACGAGCGCCGCCGCGAGGGGGCGCTGTTACCGGGGGCGGGCGTTGCCGGTGCCGGGGGGCTCTGCCCCAGCCCCGTGCGTTTCACCGCAGCTGTACCGGGGACCTGCTGCGGCCGCGGGCAGCAGAAGGGCGGCTGTGCTGATGCGCTGTGTGCGTGCCAGCGCGGCAGACAGCACCGAGCGTGACCAGGAGAGGAGCGGGGCTGCTGAGAGACCGTGTGG